CACGCTGTTGCAAAAACTCCGAACAACGGATTGTGGTTGGTGTTTGTTTGGGTGCTTGCAAAGCGGCCGCAGGCAACAGGAAACAAAAAAAAAACTGGCCGCCACGATAAAAAACGTTTGGCTGAGCCAAGCTACGACGACCCAAGATCAACTTGAGCTCGAACTTGTGTTTTGAAACCTGGATTTGCTCCTATTTGAACCTGGATTTGGATCCAGTCGCGTCACCCAGAAATCAACTCACGTTGACTTGGATCTGAATCCCCTCTGCCGACAATTCCAGCAGATGTCCCAATAGAGCATCTTTTACCCGACAACAATGCATTTCGTGCATGCGAAAAGTTTGTCGTTCTCAAGCACGGACCAAGACGGATTCGGCTGATGTGACTCTAGTTGCACTTTCCAAATCTGCCAAGTTATAAGACCAGAACCTATGATGGCTAAAGGCTAACGGCTCAGAGAAATATTGGCAATCTCAAATCGAAAAATTGTTTTTTTTTGCGTGGTTGGGCCTCGGTGACAGCGGCTGCTGCGCTCGGTCCCTATAAGAAGCAAGAAAGCAAGAACATAAAAGCAATCATCGACTGTACAAAGTGAAACAAAGTGGCTGCGACATACAGACTTAGCCGGCAAAGTCGTTCAGCTTTAATTAAATTAATTATTAGCACTTCGAAGCAGCTACTGCCACTTACAGGCTCCGCTTCCCGCAATTCTGGGTCGCGCCAATGGCCAAGAAATCCAAATCAAGCCCCGCTTCCCCTGACCATGGGTCACACAATGGCAGGTCATGCAATGGCTGGCACACTGCAGTGCAGAATCATTTGACCAACTGAGAAAGAATGGCACCACAGCGTACGTCCCACTCGGTCACTCCAAGCCGAATGCCAGGAGTATCCAAACAGCAGAACCATAAAGCACATAAGCCAGGGTACACACACTGAGGGAGTTATACTGATAGGGCGCGTTCCGTCCAATCCCGCCCGTACGGCCACAATTGCGCAGAAAGCTTCGCTAGTTTCGCTCCGCCATGTTCGTCATCCAGAGCGCACAAGAAGTTTCAGTCCCTGCAGTACAAAAGAGACATCTCCAGCACTACAGTTTGCGAAAAAAAAAAATTGCTTGCTCACACTGTGCAAAAACTGACAAAAGCGTGAACTCCATCCATGCTCAACTAGGTCAAAAATCGAGCAGATAAGAAAAGATCTGTAGAATTGGCCTTTGCTGAAATGCGTGGCTCGTCTTTAAAGGGCTAAGTCGCTGCGCTGGCTTTTCGCATCTCGCCTATTTTTTGCTTGTTCCGGACAACAGAGGGAGGCCACTTCAGCGAAGCCAAAATTGCCAGATTATTTGACCCCACATTTGGAGCCAGTGTGCGCAATTGGTCCGCCCAAAGTGGGCGGCGGCACCGCAAGCTGAACAGGCGTTCCAGACGCAGCAGCTGGAACACTTCCATTGCTTGCACTGTTCCAGAAAAGCTTGCACTGCTCTGCGACTTGCTGCCAACTTTTATACCGCAGATCTGTGAGGCTTCGCGGCCAGTCCGGAGGTTGTGGGGCCACCAGGCAGCAATTGTTCCATCTCTCCTTGGTGTAGCCAGCCTTCCACAGTCTTGACTCCAGAGCAGTCATTTGCAGGCCAGTACCAGGAATCAACCTGCCTCTTAAAGCCCGCATAAAAGTCGGCAGTCGACCCATACACTGCAAAGCCGACCTTCCACCACAGCCGAAGTCCTCAGGACCCACGTGCGCTTTCAGATCCAACTTGCCCTTGACTAACAGTGACTAACACAGCCCAGGACAGTTTTCGCTGGCTTCTGCCACGCATTGAAGCCGTTCCAAGTCTGTTCCTCCCGCATGGATAGATCACCACCAAGCAAAGCACGCATAGTTCGCTTTTTTTTGGCTTGACTGGGCCTCGTCGACTACGGCTGTAGCACTCGGTCCCTACAAACAAGCAGACAACAAACAAACAAAACTACAACAAAGCGGTGAAACAGAAGCGAAGCTCTACGAATGGGCTGCGGCGCACGGGCTTTACCTGTGTTGGCCGTTCAGCGCTAACTACGGAGCCTCAGCGACCGGTCCGAAGCAACAAAGAGCCGTCGCTCGAAGCTGCCCAAAACAACAGGTGGAGCCAAGACCAAGCTCCGGCAGCCGTTCCAGTCTCGCCAGACAACGGACAGCCCCTGTCTTTTGTTCCGTTACGATCGTGCACACCAAAATCCTCGGTGTGCACAACAGTGGCGTCTTGGATGCAAGAGACCGACGGCCACCAATCGCTGCCCACAGCGCGGTCGGTGTGCACTTTCGCGATGGCTGCTCATGGCCGTTGCTTGCCTTTGCAGTGGGGGATGGGGGGGCCTTGGCTGCGCTTTCTTTGGTTGCGGCGCAGTTGCCTGAACACAGCTGGTGCAGCTTGATTGCCAGTGCACTTGGCTTTGCAATTACGTCGTCTGGTGGTGACGGACCCCCAAAGATTGGTCGGGTCGCCTCTGACCGGCAAAGCCTTCTGGCCGCTGGAACCGACGACATACGTCGTTGAGGTTCTTCTCCCTCCATGCTACTCCTGAGTGGGAGCTACAACCACTGCTTGGGCCCCTGGGCCCGGTGTGCACGCTCTACTTGGGCGAGCCGCTACCGGGACTTTAGGGCGATCCTTAGCTTGCGCTGCGGGTTTCGACACACAACAAGTTGTTCCCACGGTCTACATCCAGAACAAGAGTAGCAAAGATATGAATGAACCTCAAGGTCGTCGGTTGGAGACTTCTCCCAAGGTGAAGCGACGTGCCTCACGAGGTCCGTCACCACTTAGCTGTACCAGACCATTGCCAGGTGTTCTGGCCGCAGGCCTGCACTATCGGCGTCTGTTCGAGAAGGCAGATCCCGCCAGCCCGCCCAGTTGAGACGGGTCTGCGTACAGCTGGGGAATCGACACAACGATATGTCGTTAGTCCTACGGTCGACAAAGAGCGGAAGTCACCTGGAGGAGCCAGCCGTGCGGCCAGCTGTCGAGTGGTCGTTGCATGTTCACGGCCACTCGCAGGAAAGTGACTCTCCTTCAGGAGATAGAGCATCTGATAGTCTTCTACTTGTAGATTTCCGTTGCGAAAATGAATACTGATGATTTTCATGGTCTTTGCTGTGAAAAATGTGGCATTAACTCGGTGGATATGCAGAGAAGGGAGGATGAGTCCAGCAAGCTCATCAAGAAGCGCCACCACCAATCTCAGGACGAGCAAGTCATACCAGAAAAGAACTGGGGAACGCTTTGCTAGAAGACGCCCACCAACAGCAGGCCCACAGGCCATTAAATTGTCGTCTTCCCTTTCCATTGGAGCATTGTTGTGCATCGCTTATGCCTCTATCACACCCATGTCCGATGGAAAGATCTGTGTTGGACGTTTGGACGGCCAAGCTTGGGCTATCAAGCCCCACCTTGTGCCGAACTTCAATTGCCAGCGACGAATAAGAGCAGCATAACACCCTTCGGCGCAACCAAGCTTGGGCAACAGCGGCCTGTCGATGGAACAGAATGTGCTGGGGCACTGCCTGACCCTGCTTTCTCTTCTCTTGTCTCTGCCTGCTTGTGAAGTAAACTCAGCCGACCGGGCCCTCATGTTGCCACGGCCTTTCGCGTGTGTCTATCGCCTCTACTTGCCATATCTTGTCGCATTGGCTCAGTTCTGTGACGCCCTGCAGGCCCTTGTGTGGTTGTTCTCTTGTTTATTCTCTTCGCAAAAAATCCCCATCAAACGATTTCGTGTTGCTTCTTTCTTGTTTTGTGTGTGTGCTTAAGAGGGTTCTAAGGCGAACGACAAGATGCTTTCTTGTTGACCTTAAGACTTTTCTGGTAGAAACGGCGGACGGAGTGCACACTAACTAATCAGACTCAGTAATGCGCTTTTCTGGTGACCAATGGCGGCCGTATTGCATTAGCAATGTGAAAAGGCTTGCAAAGGCTTTAAAGGAAATAGATACTCGACAAGGCTTGTTGGAGAACGGCTGAAAACATTTAAAAGGCTGAAAATTCTGTAATGCTTGTCCAGGCTGATTGGAAAGCGCAGAAAGGCACGGTCGAACACGGAGGCCGCAACGCATCTGATCACGGCTGTCCATGTGGTGCTCCACCGTGATTTGCACACGCTGGTCGACCAAAGCTTCGAGAAGGCGTTTTGGATCCTGAAGGCATAGAGCAGGGTTGCTTCCCCATTTTGCGGAGGTTGCATTCTTGATCGATGACGATGGTGCCACCTTGGCTTAAATAAGAGAGATTTTATACTGAGATGTAGATAAGTCGGATAGAGTCAAAAACACAGAGTCATAGAGTCACGGAGTCATAGAGTCAGAGAGAGATAAAGTCATAGAGTCATCTATGTACCATGCATTTGACTCGATGTAGTTCACTCTATGTTGTTTTACATGTCACTTTATGCATTTCACTTTATGCAGTATGCATTTATGTGCTTCACTTTATGTACTATGCACTTCACTCTATAAACTATGCACTTCACTCGATGTACTTCACTCTATGTACTTCTCTCAAAGGTTTCGCGCGGAAGGACCCTTCGTGATGCTTTCGGGAAAAACAGGCCCTGTTTGCGAAAGCTCGAACCACGAGTTGATGTCCTGCAGTCAGTCGTTCTGAATGTGACACCATGTCAAGTTTCGGAATTCTCATCTTCATGTGTCGGCTCAAGCATTAGCAGCACATGTTCGACATCAGTATGACTACCCTGATGTGTTTTTGGTTCAAAAAGACCGTCGCAAAAAGAAACTTGATGGCTTCATGCGGCACATCAAAAGAAAGCGAAGCGTCGTCGGTATCAATAGGCGTCCGAGCATGGCATTTGCCCGAGTCGCTCGCAGTGGTAGCCGCAGCAGCAGGCTCTGACACGAAGGGCTTGGTGTTCTGCAAACGCAGCATGTGGTCGTTTTGGAGGTAAAAAGGTGCGTTGTGTGGAGGAGGCGTATTGAGGTACAGTGGCCGCGTTTTGCGCATTGCGGATGTGGCAGCGAAGTATCGGCGTCCACTTGAAGTTGCAGTGCCTGTTGTTGTTGCAAGGCCATCGTTCATGAGCAGCTGATGCCCCTTGCTTACAAGAAATGTTCACAGACAGTAGCGTGCGGGACGAAACCATGGACTGCTAAGGCAAGCTGGCTTCCTCAATCGGCCGTCAGCACCAGTGGGACGACGGCAGAGGGAGAATGCACCGACACAGAACCTCGCGAAGTTGGACCAGGCCGCCACAGCCGAAGTTGGAATTTTGGTTGTTCAATTAGTTCTGCCTGGAGCAGCCAGCTGAAGTTTAAGGCCTTCTCATGGGGTCCAAGCAAAGATGTGCTGCGCGAGCACAACTCGAATGATGATGCAGGTTGGAGCTTCAAATTTCTCCTTCCAGATTCTGTCCACGTCCAGTATGATGACTTGTTCGCATTGGAGGAGGAGACACGGTATCGTTTCTTCGCAACGACGCCGGCAAGTCGGGTCCTTAGTGAGCTGTAGCACGTGTATTTAGCATTCCCTTCCACTATCAACCAGCTTTGATTTGGTGTTACATCCAAGCTTTTGAAAATGGTATCATGGAAATGACAGTGCAACAGGGCTGTTTGTGATCAGGTGCTGGTACTTGTCATTTGGATCGCATGTTCAGGCCCACAGCGCGTTTCGATGTTGGCGACATTTGCGAAGTCGTTGGTGGCGCGCCAGCCTCTCAGTTTTCAGCCAGAGGGTCCGACTCGACAACAAGACATGAGCGTTCTGGAACCAAGGTTAGTCCGTGCTTCGGAAGAGCTCGACAGTGACAAGATTGGTCAGCTTGTGGATGGGCCACTGGCTAAGAACGGCTTGTCGTGCTGCATGAGTCTATGCAATGCGCTGTGCGCCATCATGTGAGGTGCCGAGCAGAGGTCGTGGAAATAGGCGGGATCTCAAGCTAAGTTTGCATGCAGCGATGGGTCAGCATTCCGCTCCATTCCGCTCCACAGAGAAGGTTCCGGGCCTACTGGCAAGCGCATCGCGATCGAAGACACGGACGGCTTGAGAGGATGGGTCAGCGCCTCAGGTCTTCACATCTTTGGTAGTTGTGGTGGCGAGCATTGCTTGTGCTGAACGCACAGGTGAGTGTGGTGGCCACCACAGGCGAAACTCTCATTCGAATCGTCGAGAAGGACGTTTTGCAGAAGCCGCTCACCTGCGCGTTCTTCCTGCGTCCGTTCCTGCGACCCGGACCCGGAGGAGCTGCGAGGCGAAGCTCGAGCAAAGAGGTCACCTCGCCCATGAACACGGCTTTTTTGCGGCTGGGGAAGGGTGAAGCAAATAGATAAAAATCTGTGGCAGGATTGAAGCCGCTGCGAAAGCAGCACGGCACGACTTCAGCAAGCCCACGGCACGCTTTGCTGCATCCTTGGCCTGAACTGCTGTAGTGGCTTCGAGCCTTTAGCACTGTGGTGCAAGGATGTTGGAGACGTCTGTGACGTCGTCGGAGGAGCGCCCTGATCCTAGCTGGCGAAGGTTGCAAATGAACGAACTTGCTCGTGCTGTGAATGTTCAGTTTGCTTGACGGTGCAGCATGGCTGAGGATCATGCGAGAGAGCGAGGAGTTGGATAGCCGGCAGCTGGGGAAGCTGCAGAACAGAAGCCAAGTCAAGGCTGAGCGAACGTTATGTTGCATGGTAAGTGCATGCTGCATGCCTGGTGAAGGTTGTGGAGATTGGAACAGGACCAACAGGCAAGCGTCTGCTGGTGACCGATGACACAGGCCAAGCTCTCAACACTTTCCGGAGTTGCTGTTTTCTGCAGTGTTTGAGGGTCAGTCTTGTCAAAGTCTTGCTGAAACGTGAGGTCGTGCAGGTTGGATAAGCGTGGTCTCATCTGATGGTCCGACGCTGAAAGAGTGTGCCCCGTGGAACAGTCACCACCCAACAGCTGCAGACAGCAGGTACTCAACTCTTGCGTCCTGTGAAAACGTTCAGAGCTTGGTGCGATGTCCCGACGATAGCTAGCTGCCAGCCTCTCTTTCCCAAATGCACAGTGCAAGGAGCCGCTGCGTAGGCGGCTACTTACATGCTTGCCCTCCAGTGTGCCAAGGCCGGAAATACCATTGCCCGAGACTCCGCAGGAGGGTCCGGTCCAGACACATGGGCTGCAAGGGGTACTTGCATTCCAATGCTGGAGGAGATGCAGCTCAGCAAGCAGGTGACGCACGCGGTCGCCCCCCAAGTTCGCAAGGCAAGCTGCAGAGATGTTCCATGTAAAGTGGCAGAGACCCTGCAGATTGTGGTGTGCTCGAAAGGACGTGCTTTCGCAAGCGCTGGCCCCCTTCGTGGAACCTGCAGTCCTGGTCAGAAGCTTGACATTGCGGCGCGAGAGGAGCCTTCGGAATCCGCCAATTGCGCGCAGGTCAGTTCCTCTAGAGCTCAACGCGGCTTCGATTTGGTGCGGATCCCGAGTCTCTCCCTAGCCTGGCATCCATCCTTTTAGGGGCGTTTCGACCTGCTAGGAAGTTTCCTACTTGGAGAGGGAACACATGGAGCAGCTCTTGGCGGACAAGTTTGCTACGGAGGGTGTCCAGGCGGGCTGCCCAGACAATCTGTCTCTCCTCCTGTTTCGTGTGCCAGCAGTGCCAGCTGCTAGCTTCAAACTGACGGACAGGAGCCGAGCTACGACCACGTCAAGCTCCGAGACGCAAAGGGAAAATGGTACAGGCTCGGGTGTCTTGAGGTTTACGACTGGAAGATGTTGTGATTCGCTAAAAAGGCCTGGCGAAGCACCGGAAGTGCCGACGCCCGACTTGTTTCCGATTACACTCTACTACCGGCCGGCCACCGAGCGAAAAGCGAAGAGCGAACATGTCGATGTCGATGTGAATTGTTAAAACTGAGGCCTCCGAAGCCTGAGCAATCAGCGGAAATGGTGTTGGGCTTGAATTGTGGGGTAAGTCGCTCCTGCCGGCCTGGCCTGGGAACACGGAGCCTCACAGGTCCTTGCCCTGCGTCAGCGGAAGGCCTACGAGGCATGCTCGACGCTGCATGCGCTGCATTGCCGGCGCAGTTTGGCGGCACCCGCCCCTCGGCCAGGCCTTGACGCCAACTCAGCGCCGTGGTCTCTCAGAAGTGCAGCCCGGCCCTCGGCCCTTCGTGGCGTCCAGGTGCCGGAGTGCTTGGACCCACCCTGCAGGCGCCAACTGGAGCGAGCCTACTCTACAGAGAGCAATGACTTGCTGGACCAGCGGTAGAAATCGTGGTGCGACGTCCGTGTTTTTCCGTTTGTTGACCATGTGGGTCATACGCTGATGAGGACCGTGCCATGTGCCTGGCACATTCCCTTGGCTTGCCACTCGGGACAGCGGCTGCTCTGCCGTCCGGCTGCTCCTTCTGTCCATATACAAAACTTGTACGCAGGACTGCTGGGCTGCCTGTCTCCTTGATGCCAGAGTCTGTTTGCTTCCCGAAAGGCCACCAAAGCAACACAGGGTGGTGCAATGAAATGCAGCTGAGATTCAGCGAGACCACAAAGTCCTAACAAAAACCGTTCTTGCAGGCAACGAGCCCTTGCTTTACGACGGGCATCTTTACTCGATGCAGTCAACATCCATGCTGGTCTTCGATCCTCCGGACTTCAGCGTGCCAATTCCTCAGCAACTAGGTCACTAGGGTTGCCGTCGCTTGCAGCTCTTTCTTGATCGCATGCCGTTAGGCCCATGGGGATTTGGAATGCGCAACGTTTGGGGCCTCAGAGAGCCTGCCACGCACATCCAGCTTGTGTGGCAACCACATTCCAGGCCAGCGTGTGGATCCCGCTGTGATGCAGCCTGGGCCTCTTCGTAACTGCTGGCCTGCTTGAACAGCATCTTTTCATTGCGCACGCCCAGCAGGGTTCCAGGCTCCCGGAGGCTTCAAGGGAGTGAGGGGACAGTTTCCCTGCAAAGGAATGATGATGCCGGACGCACTGACATCATCCACTTCGGCAAGTGCACCTCTCAGATTAGACACCCGTTGGGTGGATGATCAAACACAAATAATTCTAGAGTTCCAGAGGCTGTCTCAGAGGCTATGTTTCTGAGCAGGACCTTTCACATGCTGGAACAGGGGCATGTGATCGACCCCGACTCTCAGCAGGTTGGTGAAATCGCCGGTGTTCTGCTCACACGTGTTACGAGCAAAGTGAATGTAGGAAGCCTGTGTGCGGAAGGTGGTTGGGATGATACGTCCTATGACCGGTGACTTCGAGTTCTTTGACCCCATTCCCCTTCCTGCCGGGAACCTGGATCAATATTCACGGCACGAAATGTCTAGGACCGTAGAGCTGCAGCAACTGCGAGGTGGCTGACTTCATGATGAGGCGTGGGTTTCGGCTAGAGGCTCCTTCTGCGAGGCTCACCAACGGTCCTTTTGTGTCGCTCAGCTGCAAGCAGCTTGTTCAGGCTTGTTCTGTTTTCGACAAGCCACGCTACTGTCAGTAGCAGACTCGCCGCCAAGGCAAATCCTGCCTCAGGCCTGCTGTAGTCCTGCTATCCGATATCCCGTACAGCTTTCGCTGCTTGATGAGCAGAAGTGCGGAAAGGTGGAAGATGACGACGGGATTCCAGCACATGCCCCAAGTTTCGATGTGCCTGAAACGGCTAGTTGAAGCGATTCACTCGACAACGGGGGCCCAGCCTGGCATGCAGCTCGTGTCCACATTGTCGCTTTCGAGGAACTTCACTTGCAGATGCAGGCTGCTGGTAATGCAAAAGCGTCTTCTTGGCATGTTTTGCAGCCCCTGGCGGAAGAAATGCACGACTAGCCTGATGTAGAGTGCAGGTTGAAGTATGCTCCGATTGAACAGCGTGGTAACAAAGACATGATGATCCAAGCAATGCGTCAGGCCCGGATGGTGCATGTCTAAGTCATGTCTTTGCTGACAAGCCTCTAGCAACTTCCATGTGCAGGGACAGGGCCCGCAGAGTTGGAAGATCATGCTTTGCGGAACACAAGAGCTCAGATCCCAGAGAGTTGTTCGTAGATGCTTTCGAGTACGCCTCGCATCTTGTGAAGACACGGAGGATCCTGGAAGACCGGGATGTTCTTTCCGAAGCAGTGAAGCAGGACACCTTAACAGTCTGACCTTAGCTTTGTCGCCACTCGCCTTTTTCTTATGTGGGGGAGGACTACTCTGTCGCGGTCTTGGACATGTTTTTATACTTGACATGAGCTAGTAGAGACTGACGACTGCTGCAAAAACGAAGGCTATGGCCTATGCGTCCAACTACTACAGTGACCGCAACTTCATGCTGCAGGTGGGATGCACTGTAGGGAAAAAACTCCATTTGTCACTGAGCACTCTCTTTTGCCGCCGTTTGTGTTGAAAGTGGTGCAATGTGTTATGATGGGCAGGCAGTGCAACAGCATGGAGTGGCTTTACAATATGGCACTGAGGAGATCCGTCAACACCCTAGTCTTGCACTGAACACTTGTCACGCCGAGGACGTGTCCGATTTGCGGAGCAAGACGTGCAAATTTGCAGCCCCTGCAAGGTGCAGATCCTGACCTTGCATACATGGCCGTTGGAGCCTAGCCCAGTCCGTGAAGGGGTCTTTGCCCGCACCGTGTTCCTGAGGTCAAGGCAAGCTGGCGAGCACTCGAAAACGTTTCGGAGAAGCTGCGCGGTTCTTCGCGCATAGACGTGACCTCAGCTTCAGGGGGGCGCGGCGCCTCACAAACCGTCACTTCACCCGAGGTCCGAGAGGCCGTGAAGCAGTGCTGGCAAGCCTTGGAGTACGCTTCAGAGGAGCCAAATTGAGGGAAGCGGCTTCGCTTTTGAGAGCCGGCGTTTTTGGTGGGGACGCCGGCCGCAGGAGCTCCGGGACGACAAGGACGTGGTCAGCTCCGGCCTCGGCGACGTGGAGCCCGCGAAGCAAACTCGGCCCCCCGCATTTTGGGATCCAAACCGCTGAGCCGAGACTTGGCCGTGAAGCAAACCTGGCGTGCCCTCCAATTTGCCGTCAGGGTCCTACTACGCACTCTGCGCATCGGATCTCAAGCATCGCTTTTCCCGCTTGCCGACAGTCCTGTAGCCGAGTCTGGTCGTCTGCGCGGCGACGCGGCATTCATGTTGAAAGCAGCGGCCCAAAGCGTCGCCACTCGGCTGTGGTCTCATTGGGAAGGAAGCTAGACTGCTCTTCATTGCATATCGGCCCAGGACGCCCTGCATTTTGCTGCCGATCTGCTTCTCAGCGATGCCGACTTCATGAAGCAGGCAGGATCTGATGTCTTGCTGCTGAGCTGTGCCATTCCAAGTGGTGGCTCTCATCTGGGTCCGCAGAGAGAGAATCTCGGGTATTTCGGCTGCAGGCTGCGCAGCTTGACGGCATGGCTCTTCGCTTTGCTGCACGACTCCAAGTGTGCTTGTGCCCCATCCGACAGTGTCATGACAATGCTGGCGGCTCTCAGGCAGAAGACGTTGTCGACCGGGATTTGGTTCTGCAGGTGGCTAAGAGGCGATCTTTGATCGGTTGGATTGGTCGTACGTCCAGGCTGTGCGGACAAATTGGCATGCACTTCAGCATGCCCCTGATGTGCTACGTGCAGACAGGGCAGTGGTTCTGGAGGCTCTGAGAGGACAGCAACTTCAGCGGGAAAGCACAGAAGATGCTTGATGTCACGCAGGCTGTCCGGCAGCATCATTCTGCGCTGAAGTTGGCATCTCCCGATGTTCTGCTGGATGAGGTCTTCAAAGTCATGCTCCCTTTCAGAACGTTGTTTCATGTGCCTCCTTCTCCGCCTCTCAGGAGCTGATCTTTGAAGCAGCCAGGAGGCGACCTGACTTACTGCGCGAGGGTCTCGGAGGTTCATGTTGAGCAAGGAGGGCAATGAAAAGAGTCCCAGAGGCAGCTTGCCGGATGAGCCTCGTTCCAGCAGAGGCAGACGGCAGACGGCAGAAGAGTTCAGGGCAAATTGTTGCTTGCCACGTCTGTGAGAGGTCTCATGATGCGAATGGTCAAGCTGCATCCAATGTCGCTTCAATATGCTGCAGATGGAATCCGTGCTATGCCGAGTGTTGCATTGAGCATCAAAGCAACCGGAAACTCCCCTCGACTGCGCTGACAGTGGCAACGTGTGAGGCCGTGACGAGGAAATAGTGCTAGAGGCCAGGATTTTGGGACTGGTCCCGCAGAGCGTACGAGTGACACGCGGTGGTTGCAAGGCCTTGCGGCGGAACTGGAGAAGCTTTCAATTTGCTGCGCCGGAGCTGAAGTCGTCGTCCCGGGCTTGGCCCGTGCAGTTGGAGATGACCTAGCAGCTAAGATCAGCTAAGCATCGGGAGAGAGTCGGAGACACATCGCTTGTTGCCGGCATTGATGTCCAGCTGCAGGACTTCTCTATGTTCATCTACAAAGCGCAAGAGGGTATTCATGTTCGCACGTGATGTGCTCGACCACTATCATTGCGGCGTGCCTCTGCCGCGACAACTACCCGCACCAGTTCCGGTACCAGTGCCACCACAACAAGACCAGAGCACTATCCCACTACACCACTACGCCACTACGCCACTACACCTCTACACCTCTGCAGCTTCAGTAGGTGCTGGGGCTAGCACAGCAAGCATTTCGACATCAGATGCCCCAGCAGATGATTTCGAGGGAGCACTGATAGGATAGGGGGTTTAGAGCACGCCAAGCTGCAGGCACAAGAGCCCCTCTGCTATCTGAGTCTACCATAATGAGTACATTCGTTGCAGACAGCCTCGCGTGATGAACAGTCGAGTTCATCGTCAGTGTCAGTGGTGTGAGGTGGCTACAGGTCCTGATGCCCGTCCGACTGTTGCGCTGTTTGTTTGGATGGTGCTGCGACATGAAGAGTTTGTCGCACCTCTAAAAAAACATTGAAGTGTCAGAGACGCAGTCTGTACTGTGTGTTGAGGAGATTTCGGTCACCTGCGCTACACTACTACACCACTACACCTTTGCACCGTTGAACTGCACCACTGCAACACTACACCGCTGCCACTACAACTTTCCGCACCCAAACCCCTGTGCCTACCCCAACTACCGATGCAGTACCACTACAGTACGCACCACTGCCACCACTGCCACCACTGCCACCACTGCCACCACTGCCAAGCATCTCGGCTCGCTACACCACGCCCGGGGGTGGTTTTCGTTGTGCTTTCCCCTCATTGGCCTATTGGTCTATCTCTCCCCTTCACTCCCCCCTCTGACTTCCGGGAATAAAGGGTCCTACTATGCTATGGATATTGCTATGTGCCCTCCTCACGGGAGCAACAAGATTCCCAAGCACGCCAGCTGGTGGAAGTGGGAGACCTCGATGGAGTTCCATCTTCGACAATTGTCGATGGAATTCCTCTTCCTGGCCATGCGCTCCTTGCCCTTTAGCTCCAGGATCAGTCTGCAGCTTTTATACAGCAGCTCATGGCTACGAACCTCGGGCTTTTGCATCTGGCAAGAAACCTGGACGTGGTTGTCTCCCTCTCAAAGGGTGGAGTTCCTGGGTCACACTTACCGGGTGGATGCTCTATTTGCTGCGAGTGCCCTGGATGCTGCGTATGCTACCAGACTGTGTCGAGCTGCGGATCTTGAAGCCCTGGATTGACCCTCCTCCGCTCCGGAGACAAGGCCGTGCTCCCAACCCTGGTAGATATTTTCAGTGGCTGTCTGCATGCACCCGACATAGATCTGTCTGTGGAAAAGGCTCTCTCAGGATCGGCACAGGACTGCTCTTCTGCTCTATGATGCTGGGTGCTGGAGTGACCATGGCCACGGACCCAGCATACCTGCCTTCCGATCGGTGCACTCTACAAGCCTGTTCGTGCCTCGCTGCTTTCTCTTGGCCTAGACATGCCTCTCTTGCAAGCCAAAGCCTGATGCAAGTGATAGACAGCTTGGGACAACCGACTCGGCACACAAACCCCTACCCCTGCATGAAACGATGGACCCTGATGCTCAGGCAGCAGAGTCAGACGTTGTGGTGCGACCCTCAAGAACTGGTCTGTGTCAGCCCACCAACAGAGCCTCAGTATCTCTGCGCTGTGGGGTCCAGCTGTCCTAGTCACTGTATTCTCTGGACCAACATGTCTCTAGTCGACAGCCGTATTGGAGGTTCCCCTCCGAAGAGCTACAGCACGCGGCTAGGAGGTCCCCCTCCGGCCCCTCTCCTCAGCCCCTGCCGGCGTGAGGTTCCCACACTTCTGCTCCGTCGTTGCAGCTTCTACCTGGAACTGCTGAGCCATATGCCAGTGGCAGGACCGCCCCATGCCCGTAGATTCAGAACGGTACGGTCTCTGAGCTCCGAAGCTGCCACTGTCAAGCTGGTCCTTGCTGCCCCAGCCAGTTCCCAGTGTAATAACCTCCTGCCCGCGACCTGTTCTCTCAAGCTATGTGGTGGAGCTAGATTTGCCCCGGAGCGGGCATTAGGCATGGATCCACCAGGAGAACCCCCCGAGGACCCCTCCTCCTATCGGGGGAGGCGTGTGAAAACACAGCGGGACTATGAAAGAGAGGCCCGAAGGCCTGACAAGCAGACACGTCGCAGGCTGAAGGAACTCAGGGCGGCTCAACAAGAGGCTACTGGACAGCCTCCACCACTCACGGTCTTCTCGCGGCGCAGGCAGCAGCAGCAGCAGCCCAGACAAGTTCGTCAGCCACCAGCTCCTCCTGCTCCGCGACGTGTCCCAAATCCTTCCACTCCTCCGCGGACGCCTCCGGAGGTGCGTGCTCCAAGCACGCTGCTACCTGCTGAAGCCAGCACTTGGCCAACAGAAGGCTCAGGAGATGCCGATGACCAGATGGTGGAAGTGGAGGTAGAAGTTGAGGAGCCAGCATCTGTGACTGCAGAGGAGACGATAGAGACAGAGATTCCCTCGCCCAGGACACCCCCAGCTGTCACAGGTGATATTCAGGCGACATCCGGGCCTCCAAGCTCCGCGCCCCCACGACTGGCACCCAAACCTAAGACCATGCCAGCTCTAGGCATGAGGGCTGGCACACAGGCTACCTTGGATGTGAAGCAGGAAAAGCACTCGAACGATGTACCACTCCTGGCTCAGCCGGTTCTACCCAATGAAGAAGACCTTCAGCCCCGGATCGCGAAAGGCTCAGTTGGTCGGTTAGTGCTCAACAAGCTCCACAGGAGAACCTCGACGACCTCAGCCTCAGTCCTCAAGTCCACCAAGCTACGACTGTCGCCAGGTCAGGCCAGGGCAATCATCCGCAAGTCCACGGCAGTGAAGAGCAAAAGCAGGCCCTCCGCGAGACCCCAACAGGCTGAGGATGAACAAATCGCCTCCTCTGGGGACGAGCGAGGATCTTCCTCAGGTACTGCTGCGAACCCTACAGGTGAAGATCACACAGGTCGAGAGATGCCCGACAATCAGTTGGATGACCAGGTCGAACAGCAAGCCGAGGCAACGCAGCATGCCCATACCACCATGGAACTGGTGCTTCCGATGCCACAACCTGGAGGCTCGGGTGTGGTGTTCACAGCCGTGGGCAACATTCGATCACAGCCAACGGGCACCTCGACAGGGGCAAGGCACTGGGTTTTAGACAGAGGAGGCGGCACGACAGCCGCTCCCATCCTGCATATGCCAGAATGGGTCCGAGCTGCTCTACAGAACCCACCGGAGGACCCGGCGCCACCTCCACCGAGGACTCTACGACCGCAGGGCTCGCCGAAGTCAATCTCCGGACCACAACGACGCACAAAGCGTCGCCGAACTGCAAGCAGGCAGCACAACACTGCCACTGCCTCCGCTGAAAGGGCGGAGGATACAGGTGCGACCTCGCCGACTGATGAGACTGCTCCGACTGATGCTGCATACATAGCGTGCTGTGATAGCCCATCTGCCTTTGAGACCACTGCTGCTTGCAAGCTAGAGTGGGACTATACATTAGGGTTCCAGAGCAAGTTGCACTGATGTTTGCCCCCTTCTCTTGCTCCCTGCCCCTGTTACCTCCTGACACCTCTTTTCCTGTGCACAGGACACCACAAGACAGGCGGCGGTGGGGATGCCCAGACATGCTCGGAACCTTTTCCACTCTGCACCTGCACGGACGAGCCTTTGCACGACCGCCTTCCAATATGCCTAGAGTTCCTCCATGTGCAACAGCTGCTGTTCCGGTTCTGATCAGTCAATCCCAACATCCTCTTTTGCAAATCCTCAGGCTCCCCACCCGCAGCATGTACCCTCTGAGGCGTGATCCTGGCGAAATATCGCCAAGTTCCCCTTCCACCACAGCAGGCACAACATGCCATTGCTTCTTCGGTCCAACCCCTAGACGGTGTACTGACTGGTATTGTTCCTCCTCCCAGCAGGAGGTTTCCACGCCAGGCACAGATCGGATCCAAGGTCTTAGTAGTAGCAGCTGCCGTGCCACGCCTCCGGTTCTTCTTAGGCACCTAAGCCCTCCCAACCATGAACAGCTGCAAGTGCTTGTTGTCAGGCGTCTGGGAATGCTCGTGTGGCGGAGAGGCCCGGCTACTCTCCCTTGCAGGGCACGGCATGAAACCGACAGCATGCCAGTGAGGGATTTTGCTCGGGGAGTAGCAGTGCTGCTGCCTTCATCGAAAGCCTGGCCCAGCCGAGCCCCACAACCAGCGTCAGATAAGACAACTGGAGGTTTACCCCTTCCTCCGACCCTGGCCCCGCTGGTTGCCTGTCATCGTTCAAGCTCTCTTTAGAGGATTGTCTGCATCTCTCCTCTCTAGCTGTCCTTCTGACCAAACTGCAATACTGGGACTGCTGAGGTTTAACCTGGACAAGTACTGGAAGTGCTACGAGACGATTACGCCCAGGACTGATGCGCTCTTGCAGGGACCGGCCATGGCGCACAGCCTGCACAGCCTCTCGATTCCTCTTCTTGGATGCACGAACTCTTGGTTCAAGACCACCCCTCTGCTCTCCTTTGTGAAAGCAGCCATGAGTGTGGCCTCTGATGACTCTGATCTCCTTGGATCGGAAGCAGACTCGGACCTGGGATCCCTACAGCCGTGGCTGGAGGGCGAATTCTCAGACCCCTCCGACGGTCCTCCCTCTAGGGGTGAAGTCAGACTACCACCAGCTGCTCTCACTGCGACTGATCAGATGGCGACCAGGGTGCCAGGCACGCCTATCGGAGCATTACTTCAACGAGTTCCACGACCGCGGGCAGACTCAGATGCCTCAATGGCCCCGCCACTGCACAATCCTGTGATGATCGGCAATGGCACCCCGCTAGAAGCTTTTAGGCCCCCAGGCTCTCTTCTCCCACGGCAGCCATCGGCACGGTCGAGAGACAGCAG